GATTTACAAACGTTTGAGAGGCTTAAAGTAGAGCTTTGAAACTTACTGTCTAAAACTAAAGATAGGTTTTTGCATGTTTTTAAGCTTTAAAACTTTTTCAGTTTTAAAAACTTCTGGATTTTTTTTTTCTTGGGGTGGAAACAGTCAGTAGATGACAATGTGGTTTTGCTATGAAGTAAACGTGCTGAGATCAGCCCGTATCTCTATCCAGAACTGCTGACTTTGGGCTATACTGCTAAGTGCCGGCTTTTCATCTCATGATAACTCGTGTGCGTTCATGCTGCTGTGAAAAAGTACGGCTCTGTTAGCAGTTAAGGCTAACCTTGTAGTTACACAACAGCATGGGATACCTTCCGGGAGGGACACTACACTAGCACTAATGTTTTGTTTTGAATAGTGGGAACGAGGATTTGCTTCAACCTGAACTGGAATTTGTAGGTTTTTACTACACTCAGTCACAAATGGTTGCTCTCTAACAGCACCATAGGAACTGGGCAGCAAAAGTGCTTTCAGCTCTAGCCTCTCCTCCAAGGCTGGACGTTGCATCCAATAGCACATCTATGACCAATGCATCTGATAGTGCTGAAAAGCAGATTGGCAAGAGCATTAGGGACCTTTGAGCCCTGTGAGACATGTGTGCGTGATCTCTTGCAAACAGTCATCATATCAGTGAAACACCGGAAAGATTTTTCCATGCTGTTGGTGGCAGAGTCCGTAACTGCTGCTGCGCAAGCAAACCGAGGTTGGTAGAGACGCCCAAGAGTCAGCCCTTCCTTTCAGATTAGTTTTCGCCCTCCTGTAACATTATCAGACAAGGAAATGATTAGAGAGTATCGTATTTGTACAAATAAATGTGACATTGCGTCTCAGCAGAATGGGAGGCATATCTGGGAGTGGGGATGGAGTCAGACACTGAGACTGCACTTAGGTTACCTGGATTTAAATCCCAGTTCTGCCACACCCCTCCTGCTCGTCTCTCACCATCTGCATCTTGGTGGGTGTCTGGACAAGGCACAGCACAACCTGCACTGTGACTGGCATTTCTAAGTACTCTTATAATAAATGTGGTGTAAACTTCTGCTGTCTAGTGTTGTGCCTGCAAGAGTTTGCATTTCGGCAGCAGTACCATTAGTTTGATGAAGCTATCTGAAATAACACACAGTAAAACAGGTGTTTTTCATTTTATATCCATGACCTGTGGTTATTAAAGCATTTATGGGAGGTCTGATCTGCAGCCTGTTCAGGTTAATGAAAGGCTGTGCATTCACCTCCACAGGCTTCAGATCAAACCCAATGAAATTAATTACAGAAACAATTTGCAGGAAAGAAACAATGAAAAGAACAGCATAGTACTGGAGGATGCAAAAGAGAAGAGTAGTAACAAAGCTTAATCACTCAGATCTGCTTAAAGGCTTTTTAGTTAAATAAAAGTGTTGATGTGATTATAGTGGATACGATGGTACAACAATGAGATTTTGCATTTTAAAAAGTGATTAGATTAAACCATGACATACTAACTTTTGAATAACTGAATATAATTGACTTTATAGCAATAAACCTACCAAAAGAATGACCAACCTGTTGCTGAGAATACAGCTGTAATCAAAGAAGATGTAAATAGTAGGGACAACCTTGCTAAGGTACAGGCTCCAGGCACTAACTCAACTGTTGTGGTCTAAGGCAGTGGCTTCAGAAGACAACATATTTGGCAGCAGTATCAGTGAGTGATATTTTCCCTCCCAGCTCCTGGGGGACGCTCTGTCTCACCCCCTTGCTGCTGCCTGCCTTGGTGCCAGCACAGACCTTGGTATATCTTTTCCATGAATCACAGAGGGAAACTGAGCATGCTTTCAAATGTGCGCACACAGAAACAAGCAAGCATATTTTTGCTGGGTTATTTTTTTATCACAAATCAAGTGCTGGTATTGACACCAGGGTCAAGACAACACGAGGCAAGGAGAAAGAGGATGGGCAGGGGGCAAGGGCTGGGGAGGCAGCCCTCAGCATTTCAAGTCAGCTTCTCCTTTGCCAAGGGCTCAAAAAAGATTTCACGTGACCACCAGAAATACCCATTCTTGGGTTTGGGGTTGTTTGTTTGTTTTAATGCAGTCAAATGGTGTTTTTACAGTAACCATTTGCTTAACAAATTATTTAACCTTGTAGGGAGTGATGGAGTGCTGATTATTTATTCACCAAAATTCAGGAGTCTACATCTAAATTCTCCTCGCACTCCCTTTCCTAGCATGTCATTATTCCAACTGGGAGAATGCTTAAGAAATTTAAATAATCTCCCATTCAGCTACATGTATGAGAAAATGCATTCACTCAGTACAATAATGCAATTGTGCCTTTCCTCTGAGATGGCCAAGCGGGTTAGTGGAGCCATTTTGAGAAACAGGAACCGAAAAGCAAAGGCACTCACACAGACTGGGCACAAGAAAACATAAAACCAGATAGCAGGCATGTGAAAAAGCCCCTCTGCATTCACAGACAGCAGAGAACAAAGCTAACAAAGTAAATTGTGTGAGATGAGAAACCACAGCACTCCACCAACTAGGGAAATACATAGATTCGGGTTGACTCTTTTTCAAACCAGCCAGGAATACAGAGCGTGAGTGGACTGATGCTCTTCTGCCTTTCACTGCTGCAAATCAGGAGCAGCTATGCTCAAGCAACTCCTTTAAGCACAGGTATGCTAAAGTAAAAGTGGTTTGAGTGAAAAAACTTTCAGGCCCTAGACAATAGGTGCAAAACCTGGCCATCATCCCCTGTAGTTAGTAACAGCCGCAATATGTTTGTGGCACTGACCTAAAAACACAAAGTCCCAGGGACAATTATCCACAGCACAAATGCTGGGACATTTACTATACAGCCAAGACATCAGCAGCAGAAGAGGGCTGTGTTTAACAAAGGGAACAAAAAGACATTTTTATAGTGGTTTATGTTTATTTGTTCTATAAATATTGCGGCAGGGTTCCTTCGGGTCAGCCAGCAGATCTGATTAATTTATTTTTCAGTTTCATTTTTGTGCCTATAAATTGAGAGGTGACTTGGGGTTGCAATGCACAGCTGCTAAAAATACACCGCAACCACATAATGCACACAACAGGGTTAAGCCACCGCACTCCCCTAAACCTCAGCTCCTTAAAGTCCCTACACACGGGCAGATTGGTGTATTTGGAGGCATGTAAACCTGCTGTGGTTGTGGCTTACTTTGTCAGAGCAACATGGGGAAGGAGGCAAGGCAAAGGGAGCGATGACCAGGAGGCAACGTGAGCTGCTCAGCAGACACACGGCTGCCCCGTCCCACAGGGATGGGAGGGGAAGCACTTTCCCGAGGGAAAGCGAGGATTCCAGCCTTTTCAGTGTTGTACGGCATTATTTTCAACTGCAAACAGTTATTAAAATAGCAGCCTATAAAATCAAGACGGAGAAGAAAGCAGAGGGTGTGACGGGAATCAGAACGATTCCATTTTGATGGATTTTTTTCTTGTGAAGTTGCAAGCCCAGAACTAAACCTTACAAAGCAAAGTGACAACTCTCCCCTTTCCAACGGTGGGCTGCAGCCTCTTTTACCCTTACAAGCTGCAGACCACCAGGCGCAAACCAGCTCTGAAGAAGAGCTGTTAGCTCACTGATGTCCGAGGTCACCTTGCCTGAGTTCATGAACCCCGGGCTCTCTCGCACGGGGCCAGAGGAGCTCCAAGCGGGGTCTGTGACAGGCACCTGAGCCCAGGGCAGTGCAGCGGTGCTGCAGGAGCTCGGCAAGCAGCCTGGCTTGGCAGTAGCAGAGCCAACTCCCTGCCCGCTGCCTGCTGTTCTCTGAGTGACCGAGCTAATGGGGTGGTCTGGCTGGGACAGGAGAATGGCTGCAAAGCCAGATGCTGGGCCAAGAGGGACAGGATAGCTACAGGAGGTGGGGTAAGGCTGGGGAAAGTCAGGGAAGGGCTGAAAAAAGGGAGAGGGGGAGTTTAATCTTGCATGTGCCAAAGCAGAAATGGAGGGCGGTGTGTCGGGGTGTATAAGTGGGGTTACGACCTTTTTCTACTTTTGCATTTAACTTCTTTGAGCATGACTCTCACCTTAAAAGTCGGTGGTTCCAGGCCCTGTGACATACATTGGCCTGGCCCCACTAATGGACCCACAGCTTCAGAAGGCAGCTGTTGATATTGCAACTGGGAGCAACTTCTGGACTGGCAAGCAAAGGTCTGGGCAACATTTGCCTACCTAGTGACGCAGTTTATACTGTTCTGCTTGGCATATTCTTTCTCAGGCCTGGAAATGAAGAGAATTTCAAAGGAGAAACACAAAGGGCTTGGATTTGTGCAAGCAGTCAACATTGACAAGCTGACAGGATGCAAGCCAGTAGGGTGGAGACTCGTAGGAGATCTCTGCCGTTAATGGTCTTCCCTCCATTTTTTGAAGTGTCAGCGACCCGGAGTTACTCATCCAAGTAACTTCAGCAGTAACCAACAGTGGTGCAGCAGACAGCCAGTGTTTCCTTCCTTGCTGACAGTCCCTGTCCTCCTCACCACTGGGGGAAAGGCAGAAGCTTCTTGGCTGGTGCAGGGGCAGCCAACAGGGTGACATTGCCTGGCAGTGCGGCAGGACAAAAGTCCTGAGGAGGGATGGGCTCTGCAGCTCAGGAGGTGAGCAACACAGTGTATCTCACAATCCACCATGGCAGGGCTTGAATTTTTTAACTGCCTGTATTCATGGTCTTAATTTTAGATTTAGGGTCTGTAATTTTGTGCTTATGGTACACACTCAGCAATCATGCAATACTTGGTGACCAGCTGAAGTCCCCTCTTCGCCCTCTCTTTCCTGCATTTTTCTCATCCCTCTTTATCCTGGCTGTAGCCCTGACTCTGCCTGTGCTCCGGAGATCCCACGTTATCTCAGAGCAGCTGCTGACAGGTGGATGGAGGTCCCTCCTGTGTGGGGACAATGTATCCTGACCTAGATGTGACATATCTGACACTATATTCCATTCCTCCTAGGTACTGCCTTGTTCCTGTCTGTGTCCCCAGCTGTCGCGTAAGCCATTCCTGCCGTATCACTTCCTGCATGTGGGGGTATTTGCATGAGGTATGTTCCTGAGACCACACTGTGGGATATGTTTGTGTTCTGGATTAGTTTAATGGAACTGCAATATAACCTGCAAGACAGCTTCCCAGCTGGTAAATTGTGTTTAAACAGTGGAAAACAAATACACTTTCTTAATGCTCCAGTCCTTTTACATCTGGTTGCTTAGCATTGCCCCTATCTCCTGTCCGCTTTGCAGTGCTTCAGCAAAATTGCCAAACAAGCTGGCCAAAAATCAATTGAACAGAGATCAGAAGAAAAAAACAAATGAGATATAGCAGTCACTGATGGTATACACAGGCATATCAATTTGGCAGCTAGTCAAACTCCTTGGAGCAATCAGCTGTGCTCATTAAATGTCAGAGCTGTGAATTTGCCCTGGGCATTATCAGCAAAAGCTTGAAAGTGGCCCAGCTCAGTTGAAAGAGATTTTCTTCCCCCAAATTTCAGGTAAATAGATGAATGAGATGTCAATAGCAATTCCATACCCCAATTTTAGCTCCAGAACCTGATGTCTGTGCACAAAGCTAGGGTGGAAACTTGGAGGGGGGTGTTAGCATGGAAGATTCTAGAAGCAGCACATTTTCTGTATACACTCGAACTTGGAAAGAAACATGCTGCCATTACCAGGTTTGGTTTTCCTTAGTATCACAGCAGCTGATGTGTTACATGACAACTGCCAGGAGGTGACATAAAATAGAAGACAACCAGGGTGAGGTAAAGAAAACCTAATTCTTCTAGAGGTCAGCAAAGAAAGAGCAAGTTCCCTTCCCTGATAGCACTGCTGAGTGGTGCAGAAAGAGGGAAAACTCCCTAGCCCTGCTATGTTTCTTTTCTCTGCACCTCAGGAGGTTCCTGCTGTTTCAGGCTCAAAAATCATGAAGCAGAAGAGCCAATTGCTTGCTCATTCATGTAGGCTTTAGGAAAAATCTGTGGAAATAATTTATACTGTGTAAACATCACAAAAGTCTTTTTTTTTGTTTTGTTTTTACCTGACAGGCCACATTAATGACAGATTTTAAGCCAAGTATTATTCAGATATCTTTATGGAAATCAGTGAGGCCTCCCACCAACAGACCAGTTACCCAGTATGGCCTAGGTTGTGAAACACACACTTGGCTAAGAGCTTTGCCTCACTGAGGACCTTGGGATTTGACCTTTAATTTTGAATGTGTGACTGTATAAACAAGCCATCACAATTTGTCTGCACTGTGCTCATCACAAAAACCATTCACACAGAAAGGACCTGGAGGTAAGTAGCAGGCAGAGGCCATTCTTGTAACACCTAAGCTTGGTGATTTCTCTAAGGACACGAGATTCCTTACCCTACCTTGAAGGTGGAGAAGTGGGCTCTGTCTGGGAGGGGAAGAGGGTTAAAAAGAAACCCCTGGGCAAAGATCCTCTGTCCCACTGGGAGCTGGGGCTGACCAGCTGTGTGGGCAGAGCCCTGAGCACTGTACAGGTCTCTCCATAGGAAAGTCTTTGCCTGGGATCTTCATACATTTGGTTATTTGGAATAATGTCCAAGAGACAAATGGTCCCCTGCTTAAGAAAGGCATGTTATTGCTTCTGGAGTGCAGCATTACTGTCGCATTAGATAGGAGTCTCTAACACTGTTCTGAGAAATGTTGCCTGCTCATATCACATTTCAAAACATGCAAATAAATCAGTGACCTTCGCTACCAGCAGAAGTGCTGTGTGGATTTGTATTGAGACTGGGAGAGTGGCTGGCTGGAGGGGACCAGCACACCAGCTAAACCATGTGCTGCTCACCAAGTACATCAGGAAATTTCTTTGGAGTGAAAAGTTGATGTCAGGCACTGCATTTCTCTAGCACTGTGCCCAAGGGGGATCAGTATCCATTCAAACGCAGCAGCATGTCAAGAAGAGGCATTTAATAAGTGAATGCTGAGTAGCATTTACCCTCTATACACAACTGTTATCTCTGATTTTATTTATCACAAAGGAAGGTATTAATTCTCCTCCTCTATCATGCTACTTCTAGGGAAATAGTTAAAATCATAACTGCAGTCTCAAAATCTGCAGCAATTTGCACCTTGTTGGATCAGCAGTTTGTGTGATAAAGGAGCCCTGACCTCCTCACCTGCAGTGGAAAGTCCAAAGGTATCATCAGAAGGTTTCAGCCTTGTTTACCAAAAAGCAGAAGTGCAGAAATCCACATAGAGACTCTGTAGCCTAGGAATACAGGCCAAAAAAGATGTGACGTGGTGGAGGCCTCTGACTACAAATAACACCCCTCACCCAGCTGAAACCCTAGCCAAAGGATGTCTCCTTTGAGTGATGTGAACTGCATCTTGCTGAATCTCAGACTCAGTGCCACAGCTGCAGTGCTTCCTGCAATCCCTCTGACACTGGAGAAAATGTCTTGCCTATTATCTTTACTGTTAAAGTCTGGATTTCCTGTACAGGGGAAGTCGTCATGTAAAAAAGCATAGAAAATGCTTTAAAGAAGGAGCAGAATGTGCTCAGATTGTGAAGCAGCTGATCTAAAGGCACTGAGACCCTTAGGGAACCCTGGGCCACAATAGTTGACATTTGAGGCAGGAAATGATGGTTTATTTAACTAACTGAACTGAAAACTGCCAGGGAATTTAAACAAGGCAAACAGAATTACTGAGGGCAGCATTTAGCTAAGGAAGGCATGCAGGCCAGAGCTCCTATGATCGTGGGAAATACTGAGAGATTTGACATCTGTAAGTGGTAGTGGCCTCTGCTTTGTCATTCATCTAAAAGACAGATCAGGTGGGCAAAGGATCCCCGGAGGGTGTTCCTGCTTGCTCACCACAGCTTCTTGCCCTGTCTGGTGCTTCTCCACACAGTCTTCCTTCCAGCCAAAGGCCTGTCTTGAAGATTTTGAGATATAATGGCACAATTCTGGCACTGGGCTACTCTGTTCCTATTTTTGTTTGTTTTCAAATGTTTCAGTAAAAATACTTTTGAAGACATTTGTTAGATAAAAACAGGTATCTCTGTTCAAATCATGGCTTTTTTTTCAGAGGTTTTCTTCACTCTTCTCAGGCATGTGCAGCAAACTCTAGGATTTTTCACTTTCTGTGGCAATGAATGATATCCAGGAGCTTGACTTCGGTAGAGGATCTGGCTACAGAAACCAAGCGAAGAGGAGACAACCCAAGTCAGGCAACTTCAGTATCAGCAAAGAAAATTGAGAGAAAGGCATAGCATAAAGGCATTTGTGATTCATCACTTGGTACCTGGAAGGGGAAAACAACAACTGTGAGCAGTTTGGGGGTTTCACAAACCACACCTGACTTTGCCAGTGCCTGACTGGTCTCAAGGCAGCGCTCCTGCAGGTGAAGTGCTCAATCTATGATCTCCCCTGGCTCAGCCCACCAGGGACATTCCCCATGGCCCAGATCTCTGCTGCACGTCCATCCCCCTGCCTCCCTCCAGCCCTGCTGAGGGCCAAGGAGTCAGTGTTTCGGGACTGGAATTCATTGTCCCAGCTGCACTTGAGCCCATTTAACAGGAAAAATGGCAGGTAGCCGTCTTTCTGCACAGCAGTGACCTTAACCTCCTTCTCCAGCCCACTGGGAGGGCAGAGTTGAATGAACAGACTGGTTGCTCTGCTGAAAGCCATGGCCTTAGGGGAACTAACTTGTTGTTGTTGTTGTTTGGTTTGCTTTCAGCTGAACTGTTCCTGGCTGGCCAGCTTCATTGTGCAATTGTACAAATACCGGTGCCAGCACAAATAAGGGATGATGGAAAAGCCAGTGCTGCAGGCAGACCAGGTTTCTTCTCTCAGCAACTCTTCTAGCTTAGGCTGTCCTCTAATGCATGTGAGACACCTGCTCCAGGAAAAGCTTGATGTAACCACAGCAAATGCAAAACCCATGAGATTATTATTCAGACTCTCCTGCCATTCTGCACAGATCCTAGCATTGGCCTGCTCCTCCTTGTACTGCACTTGACTTAATTTCTGTGTGCTGCATGCTTTTTAAATATTCACAGGGCACTATCTGGAGGAGGAATGAATCTATAACATCAAGTCATCTCCTGCTGAGCCCCACCGAATCATCACAACCTTGGACAATTGATCAACTGATTTTGTGTTATTTATGTTACCCTAAAGGCTACATTTCATAATTTGAAATGTATAGATTGGAAAAGCTGACAACTCATACTGCTCAAACTGTTTAGTAACACTGCACTTGTTTGAAAGGCTTACTTTCAAGGGAGAGAACATATCCAACTTGCAGGGAACAACTTCCGTTGCAGCTATAGTGAATAAAAAGTCTTCAAAATATTTAGAAACCGATTTAAGCTAACAAAGTCAAGGAAATAAGTGTTGAAACTCAAACTCCTGCTTGATGGTCTATTTGTAGTTCATCCAGTGGTAATGAGCCAGATTCTTGCCTAGAATAAATGGGCATAAATCCACTTAAGCCATGCAAGAATGTTGATTTATGCTTGCTACAAATCTGACCTTTATTTCAGTATTTCATGGTAAGCTCCAATCCTCTTTACACTGCTCATTTATTGGAATGGAATTAGATTTACCAAGGTATGCTCAGACAAAATGGATTGCTTTTCCCTTAAATTTTTGTGCCAGGGATATAAAATTGTGGTCTATTTCAATGGAAAACTGTTAATAAGGTATCTTTGTTGAAGAAAAGTCAGAAGTGATAGCCCCATTCATTTCAACACTACGTGTTATTTATTTCTCAAAGCTACACTGCAAGAGTACAATATGCTCCACAAATTACAAGGTCCTTCCAGGAAATCTGAGATGCATCTGAAGAATGGAGGTTGAAAGAAGTTTAGCTAGCAAACAGTTGCATAAAAACTTAAATATATGAAGCCAAATTATTTGCTGAAGGTGTACTGGAATGAAAATATCCTTTTGTTTGCTTAACTGAAACTACATTGCTCTAAATGACCTTACATTCTTTATTTCTAAGTCCACGACCCCTGCACTGAGGTTCAGCACACTGCAAGATGCCAGATTTACCAGAATATGCTAA